CTCTACAATAATTATGAGAAAGTAGAAACGCACCATATTCAAAGTTAGGGCATTGGAGGCCTGTGGTTAAAAGTTGGAATGATTTGTCCTAAACACCCTTAATGAATTGTTCTTCTCGAAATTTCTTCTTCTTCGTAATTAGGGGTATATAAGTCTAATCGTGTGTTGATCTCTATACTAATGTCCTAAACACCCTCGATACGAAATTTTTTGTTCTTAATTATTAGGGGTATATAAGTCTAATCGTGTTTTGAGATGATTAGTCTTAATCACCCTTAATGAATACACTATCAAATCCAGTTTTCTATTTTTTGGTGAGGGTAAAACAATAAAATCGTGTGAATTTTATTAAAATATAGAATATTTCGTTTTTTAATATTAAAATATAGAATATTTCGTTTTTAAATATTAAAATATAGAATATTTCGTTTTTTAATTTTTATAAAAATTTAAGATAGATACTAAAATATATTACGAATATTTTTATCAAGAAATTTTCCAATTTTAAAAAATAAATTTTTAGAGATAATTATGACGGTGTGCCCTAGATATTAAACTATAAATATAGAGCCGCAACCACACCATTAGAACTCAGATTCGTTAGCCTAAACATATCGTTTTGATATTATAGCTTTTTTTTTTGTTGCTTTGGTTCTTTTATGGATCGATTTATTTTGCGTTATTATTTTTTACCTTTTCTTGAGGTTATATTTGTATTGTTATTATCTTGGTCTATGAATTATCAAGATTGTTATTGTTTTGCTGATTTGTATCGTGTGAATTATGTTTTAGGTAACCGCTCATGGGAGTTTCTATCAAGAGATTGAATGAACGAGTTGATGAAGACATGCCTCTTCATTAAATTCATTAACAAACTTTTTACATCAATCGTGAGTCCTCTTTAATTTTAGTTAGCGCTTCTCTTATGTCTCTTTGTAAATTACTTACAATTTTATAATTTGTGTTGGTTCAATTATTGATAGTTGTCTCTCATCGGATCTGATGTAAAATAATTTTTTACCATGCACTACATAACGAAATAATTTTTTTTTTGTCAATGTTACTCATAATTTTTGTGTTTTTGAAGGCGGAGCATTGCGCTGATGCGAAAGTGATTTACAAGTTTTTGGAGGTCAATGAGATTGATAAGACACATGCTGTCTACTACATAGCTTATGCTTTGCACATGGGAGTTTAAGAATAAGGTGAAAACTGCTAAGGAGATCTTCAATCTCGGAATCTCTAGGTAATATTTATTACGAATGAATAGACATGTAATCATATATACTTTCATGTTTCTGCTCCTTACATTATAGACCCTTATAAATTTACTGATTTTCTTTGCTTCCATCTACACAGCTTACCAGAGAGACTCATAATTTTCTCAGATTTTGTTTTGCTTCTTGTTTCTCTAATTAGCATATTTCTCTCGATCGATATTTTATGACGGAAGATGATTTGAAGCAATAATCTTCCAATTCTCTTGATTTCTAGGGTTTTTAGATTTCACTATTATAAGTTTTTTCTTTGTTTCGCATATTTCTCTCGATTGTAATCATTCAAGATTGAGGAAGATTTGTAGCGATTATTACTGTAAGAATTCTTCAAATCCTCTTGATTTCTAGGATTTCTAAATTTCACTATTATAATGTTTTCGTTTTTTCTTTTGTTTTTTTTTTTTTCGTTTTGAAGAGGCTTTTGATATTTGCACAACCGAAAAATTCGTGTTTCAAAGTTTTTTTTCTTCTGTGAATTACAAGTTCTTTCTACTTCTTTTTTTTTTGGTTTTAATTGATTTTGTTTTTGGTTCGTGTTTTTTTTTTTTTTCTGTAGCGCTTTGCATAATTTGATAAGCATGAAATTGTTGCGATCAGTTGTGGTTTATTGCTTGTGTTTTTCTGTTTTGTTTGATTTCTTTCTTATTTTGTTTTTCATTCGAACCCAAGAGAGATCATAGGCAGACACTCAATTATTAGTGTTTTGTTAGAATCTTTCTTTGGCACATTGTCCCGTCGAGTTTGGACCCATGGCTTATGGGAAATTTTGACCTGAGACTGAAAACCGATCCTTA